AAAAAAAAAAAAAAGTGCCAAACCTTCAATTTTAATGTACTGAGAGTTCTTCCAAGTGGTTTGAACAGTGCTATTTTCTACCTTTTTTTTTTTTTAACATAAACAAGGGAGCTTCATTTTAGCCTACTTACAGAGCTGACCAGCAAACTCAAACCTATCAGAGTTACTTTTGGGAGCTTCTGAAGAACAGCAAAAGTATTGAACAATGAAAGGTCAAATGCAGTGTCTATCTTTAGTAAAGGGGGGAGAGAGAGGAAAAAATTGGGAAATTACAAACAAACTAATTTATTTCCAGTTCTGCTAATGTGACAGAGCAAACCTTGTGCTGTGATGATGCTGCTAATGCCTCTCCTGAAGATGTGCATGTGTGATTCTGCATATTGCACTTCAAAGGAGAAAAGAATTGAGGGAAACCAAAGGTAAGGAATGGGAATGACAGAACACCTATAAAGACTGACTAGTGAAGAAGAGATCAGTAKCTGGATTGCTTAGGGTACAGAAGAGGGTCTAAGGACAAGGATGTCCTCACAGTCCCCTGAGGCTGCTGCTGAGAGCAGAACAAGCAGGYTGGGACATCTAGGACAGGCCAAGGAGCAGTGGTCTGCAATGGCAGCAAAGAAATTCCAAACCAGCTATTAGGAGCAACATTGCAGGTGAACAACTGGTGGAGCACTGCCAAGAGGCCTCCTGTGTAAATCGTGGAGTCTCACTATATAAACGTCTTCAGTTATGTGATGACACTTTTTATTTTCTTCCAGAGAAATCCTGTCTCAGTTGGCAGACTGAGACAGGGGACACTCAGGGAAGGATTTTATCAGAGCAGCACAGTGAAGGAGATGGCTTGTCTCAGCTCAGACAAAAATACACAGAAAACTGGACTCCATCTGTACCTTTTCAACTTGCTTCTGTGTGACAATGACAAATCAGTGGCACCTTCCTTCTCTRGATGAGCTCTAATTTCTCGATTCACTGATCCCTGATTTGAAGCACTGCAGCTTGGTCTGCAGAAATTTAAAGTGCTCTCGCTTGCAGCTGGAGTCACTGAGAGATGTTTTCTGAGATACTAAGTGACACTTCCTGCTGAGAACTATGAAAAATCCAGGTCTCAGTATCTCAAATACAATGAACATTTTTGACATACACTTAATTTTCTCCTTGGTTTCTAAYTTGTTCTAAAACATAAAATTACAGCATGTCCCTATAAATGTAACAGCATTGTGACTTATACCTAAATATACATGCTTATGTCTGGATATCTTCTAATAGATTCATATATCATATGTTATCTCAAAAGTCAGCTTCATCTCMCATCTGAGAGAAAAGCAGTGCATGATTCATACTAATGCCACTAGAATCAAAGTTTAAAACTGAAAACCTGCAATTGGAGTTATTCTATTCTGCACATTTGTTGATGCTGAATGGATAAAACAGCAATTCAAAATTAAGTTGAAAACAAGGAGCTGCAGSCAGACAATGCAAGAGCCTGTGGCTGTGGGAGCTGGGGTGTGACCACTGCCTACCTGCATTCCATGCCAGGAGCAAACTTTTCTCCCTCCAGTTGTTTAATTTGAGGATGACTTCCTATATTTGCCAAAGACTCTGGTTTCCAATTTTGTTTGCAAAAGTGGGCAAGAYTGGAAAATTTGGCCAACTGCAAAAAGCCCTCCAGCCCAAAAGACAGARTTCCTGTCATGAACATCTGTTCAATTTGCATAGTACTATTATTTTCCTAACTAAAACATAATATTGAATTAAAAATTTAGATCATATAGAACTGTAATGTAGATAAACAGTACCCTTCAGCTTCTCACCTACAAAGTCCAYCCTCCATCACTTTTGCTCTCATGTTTTGTCTGTGAGTGTGAAAGCAATAACACTCAATTTTAAAGAAAGAGCTGCATATTTTTCAGTTTGATGYCACAGAAGGAAAATGTTGTTAGACTCTGAAAGTGTAAGCAATACTACAGACTTCCCTCAGTGGTTATCTTTTGTAAATGTTGGTGACCATTACATTAAAAACTAACTTTGACATATTGCAGCCTGGTTTATAACTTTGACATATTGCAGCCTGGTTAATTTGAGTCGCCACAGCAGGTGCCAGCAAAGCACCAGGCAAAGGGCATAAAATAAAAACAGTATCCTGTCACTTCCAGTGATAGCACTGAGGGTGTCATTTGCTCTATTGATGTACTGCAAATAAAAGAAAAAAAGAGGAAATTTACGACCACATGAAGAGTAAATAATAGCTGGAGATGTAAGGAGTAAATATTTTGAAAAGTATTTTGCATGGTTAAYAAAAGTGCTTTAAAAATCCTGATTATCATATCTCTTGTGAGTTAATAGGCAGTGTGTTTTCAGACATGATCATTTACTTTAAGTAATGGCTACAATAAAACTGAAAGGGGCTGTGACATATTCAGTATGTGCTGGAAGTAGAGTAACTTTGGGTGGTTTACACTGCAGCAAAGCAACGGTCAGATTAAATGCTGCCTAACAGAGAACGGTGCCACTAAAGTTAAAGGTATGGGGATTTGAAATTTACTGAGTTTCACAAAAATGAAGCCCAGGCACAGAGAGGTCTTGTCATACTCGAACAGTTCAAATATTTGGCCTCACGCTAAAATGGTACAACAGGAAAACTTGTGAGTGAAGGTCTCATGTAGAGTCTCGCAAACAAAAGAAGGAAGGCAGAGCCTCTGGCACCTTCTCATTTAGTAGTGTGACAAGGAACAGAAGCAACCTGAAAGTCCATGTAGTTATGTTTCAGTTCACTTTAACTTGTTAACTTACTTTTCTGGTTTCAGATCYCTGTAAATAATTCCAAGACCATGGAGGTGGTCTAATGCCAAGGCCAGCTCAGCTAAGTAGAACTTGACATCCTCTTCTGTAAACATCACCTAGAGAGAAGGAAGARAAGAACACGGCTATTTATTGATCAGCAGTGTGCTGGCTTGCCTTAAACAGACCCAAGGAAGGAATTGTCTAACCTGGGAATGTTGGAAGTACCATCATATCCRGTTCAATTTTCCATAATTTGTATGGACTGACATTAACAATTCTTATCAGATTCTCCTTATAAAACAAAACTTGATCTGTTGAGTACCTTTGTTCCTTAAACTATGCTGTTCTCATTTGTCTGTTTGATCTGTTTAGATGACATTATGTCACAATAATAGGAGTAAGTTATAACTCCTTGGCATTTGGAAATGAACAGCAAAATTAAACACATTTGGTGCAGCCCATATTGCTTTCATATCCCTTAACTAGCTAAAATCTTGGCATCTGGTTACCAAATCATGAAATAGCATGGGAAAATCTTTTTGGGGAAGTGAAATACTTCCAAATCTGAGCTGAATACACAGCATGAAGAGACTCAGAGATGGATTAAAAACCTCATGCCTTGGGGATCCCTCAGAGTGAGAGGCCCTGAACAGTGATGTGCTGTCTAACATCCAGGGCCTGATGAGGTGCCAGCTGAAGACAGTMTTTTCTGCTAACACTGAAAGCTGTGTTTTAGGTGAGAAGGAATTTCTGTAATCAAAAATCCACTGAGCTCTGAAAAACTCAGATTCCTAGAAGCCCCTTTGGTTCAACTTTCATTATACCTCACATGTTCTCTTTAATTAAATTTCAATATGCACAGACATAATAATGCATGAAAAGAAGCTGATATATTTGATACACAAGTGTGAATATTATGCATGACAGAAGTAAAATGAGTCAGCCCAACACAAATTTACTTGTCATATGTAAATGTAAATTCTACAGTAGAAGTTGCAGAGCTAATTTTAAAATTAAGTCTCTGCTTTCAGRAAGGAGTAGCCAAAATATTTGAGCGCTCTGAGAAGCTCCAGACAGCTGAGAGAAAAAAGATGATTCAGAGAACAGATGTCACATAAGTTAATTAAAATTTCATTGTGAAGGCTAGAAACAAAAACACAAAGAAAATACTAAACAATAACACAAGCAAAAACTCTAAAAATTTAATTGCACTGAATATAAAAAATACATTAATTTTCAAAATAAATGTAAATTCTTTATAAGGCTTAAAATAAATCAGGTAGGCAAGAAACTAAAGCAATAGAATCAGGCAAAAATCTAATCAATRCATACAGACTAGTTAAATTCAGATGTCTCAAAAAGACAGAGCAAGAAATAGGCAAGCTTTGCATGCATACATGCAATATATGTATATATGGGATCTGCCTGAAAGTTCACTGAAATCAGTACCTTCCAACCAAATCTATAATAACAAATGCAAACTGTTCAAGTTTTCCCAGAACTTCTTCCCCTGCAATACCTTGTCCCTAAACAGCTACAAAGTATAGGTAAGCTGCAAACACTGAAAAAAGTACATTTGTACTGTCAGCTTAAGAGGACTCGTTCCTGATGGTATATAGCAGAGAAGTCCGAGAATTGCCCTGGAAAAGCTTTGGGGGAAATGTGAAACTTTTAAAAAGCACAAAGTCTGAGCTATTATCTCCCACTTTTGAGTTCCCTGGCTGTGCAGAACAGAGACCTGCCCTCTGCAGCCAAGCGTCACATTTTCAGTCTTCTTCCATGAAAATGAAGAGGCCCTTGCTGAGACAGCAGCGCTGCTTCACTAATAAAGCTTGGTCTCATGACCAAGGAAAGGCTATTTTAAATTTAAATTTAAATTTAAATTTTTCAAATATTTTCCTCTTATTAAAAATAACTGCTACCAGGGACTGAATATTTATACAAGGATCGTTACTCAGCAGCGTAATTAACTTGTTACCAATGTCTTCTTGCATTAGCAAACAAGCCTTGACAGCAAATACTCGGGTCCCCAAGCTGCAGGMACACAGCAGCCTGCTGCATGTCACTGAATCACAAACTGAATGGGGGTGTGGGGAACTTTTGACAGAAAACACTGTTTTCTCAGCTTTTTTAGTCCATCACCGGCTCCCCAAACCCCAGAAGAACAAGAGCTTCCCCTCAAGACAGGATTTGAAAAGTCTCTACATTTACAGACAGTRTGGTAACTGGCTGCTTGCACTCCTGCGCCCACACCCGAGAAAGTACCAAGGGCTGGGGACAGAGAACAGCAGGGCACAGACAACTGCAGGACAGCTATCCTGCCTCACTGGAGCCTCCTGCACTCCTGCAGGAACCTCTCTGGGACTGCTGGTTCGCAGAGGTGTTTGGAGATGCAGGAAGGAGCTAAATGAAGCTAGCAAACCTACTGCAGCTGCCCTGGATGGTATCAGCAAGAGGCGAGTTTGGGACATTCCCTGGCTGCAGCAGTCCCTCTCCAGGAGCATGGCATGCAGAGGACAGGGAAGGGATGAGAGCCTGGGGAGATGAGGAAGCAGCAGAAGGAGGGCAAGTGAGAGCTGTGATGGTCCATCTCCCATGCCAGGGGTGGTGAGTGGCCCTTGACCTGTCCCCTGCAGCAGCTGGCCTGACCCGCGGCCATCTCTTCCCTCTGCTGGCAGTGAGTCTGTTTTTCCAGCAGTTCTGTGCTCACCCCCAAGGCAAAATATATTAGGAATTGATTTCTCAGACTGTTTCTCATCACATCCAAGATTTATTTTGAATGCAACRTGTCGGGGCTATTTTGCTGCAGGAATGGCTTAGCAGTGGAGCAGTTTTCTTTGACAGGGGTGCCTCTTTGGTATCTGCTGCATTACYGTGGCAGAATTCAAATGCAATTATTAACTTCAACATGCAAGATGAGACAACTTTATTAGATATGTATGTAAAACAATTCCCAAGGCCGTTTTTCATTCCCACCAACTCAATCTGAGTTCTGAAAATCCAAGCCAGTCTTCAATTTCTAAGTTAAAGATCATCTTACCTCTTTGGAGAGTCTGGTGAAAAGGTCCCCACCCCGCAGGAAATCTAGTATTAGGTACAACTTTCCTTCTGTTTGAAATGCTGCATTGGAAAAAGATGGAGATGTTGGAAGTTTGAATCAACACAAAGTCCCCAAAGCATTAATCTTGTTGACTAGCAGTGTATCATTCATGCCATTGCTTCACTGGCAGAGTGCTTCAACATTTCAGAATGTTGAGAACCAGAAAAAAAATAATTTCTGTGTAGAACTTAGCAACAGAGCTTAGGCTATGGGGAAAAATAGTRTCAGTTGAGAGATGGGGGTGCATTACTAATATGTTAATTTCCATGCTAAGCACCCATGAATTAACATGGTTTCCCACTCYTCAAGGTATGAGGAGTCACTGAGAGCAAGGCATAGAGAGAGGTTCCCATGTTTGTGTCAGAGGAGACTGCACAACCCAGACATCCTCAGGGTGCTGTGGCAGAAGGCAACTCCAGCAAGACACCACATTCATGTACACATGCATACAAATTTAGGCTGGTACTGATTATTAAAACCATTTTTTATTTAAAGTCTCTCTTTCTAAATGATGCCAGACAGTGGGTAAGGGGGATGGCAGATGTAAACTCACTAGCTCACTCCACCAGCACTACTTACCAAGTCAGACTTTATGACAAATTGATTTGGATGGAGGAATGGCTAAAACTTACAAATACTGAATTTCTCCTTTAGCATAAATGAAGGATTTCACACAGGTAGCCTCTATGACTTTGTTAGAAACAGTAATAAGTAGGCAGGGAGTATCTGTACCAAAGTGTAACACATCTAGTCACAATTCCCCAATCAATTTAAGAACAAAGATAAACTATATTTTTTCACAATTACCATAATGAAGCTTGACTATGAAAGGATGGTTCACTTCTGCCAAGATATCTCTCTCCATTTTAGACCGTACCCGATCCCGAACTATAAAGAAAGAACAATGAGAACAGTGACATATTAAGAGGCAGSATGGTCCCTGGATACAGTGCTGGAATAAGGTTTGTCAATCTGGATTCTCATTCTCACTCTGCTGATGGCTTGTAGAATACCTTAGGAAAATCAGACCACTCAAGTGTCCTCTTTTGTTGGCTGTTTGGTCTCTGTAGTGAGTTCTCCAGGAAGGCCCTGTGAACTTCTCTACAGAGAGCTGCTCCAACTAAAATCATTGCAGTATTACAAATAAGAAGGCAATTACACTTCACAAAAGAGAGTTAATGTGAATGTGAATGTTAATGTGAAAATGAAAACTACACAAAATGAACAACTTTACTTCATTTAAGATGAAACAGCATGCACCAGCCCCAGAGCAAGTCAGATTCATCTTGTGCAAATTAATTTACTGTATTTTGCTGATGCTAGCAGCATTAATGACATATCACTGAATAGCRCTCTCTGGAAGTAATCTATATATGAAATATCCAAAACTTCCAATAAACCATSCAAACAATCAGTAATAAAGAAAAATTCCAAATAAAAATAGCAACTMATTACTTTTATGTGTAGAGATAATTTTACTGTGTGATAGCAGTGAGAAAAATACTTATTGTGGTTGAGATGAAYATAGAGTAAGGGAAATCATAATTTCAGAGGTGAGTTGAGTTCAAGCTAAGCAAAACTAAAGCTGAAGATTTCATACCAAAGCCATTTAGCAGAATATTCAGATACTGAGGATTCAAATCCCCATGYTATCAAATCTTGATCCTAAAGTTGCATGTTTCACTCAATCACTATTTTGTTTACAGTATTGATATTTTCTTCCCTCTCTTCACAATGCCAATGCACTTTTCAGATGAAAGCATCTACAAGAGATATTATGAAACTACTTTAGGCAGCAAAGCCTGAGATCTCAGTCAGATTCCATCATTGCAGCATGTGTTGTGGAGCTGTTCAGAAGCTGAGTACTCTCAGAACCCAAGTAAGGARCATACCATAACAAAAACACAAGCTATTGCTGTACTTCAAAAATGGATGCACAGAAATAGGTCCAAACCAGCTGATCTGAGAAACCTTAAATAGGGCTGGCGACACACTTGGATTCCTTGCTATTTTTATGCTCTACTTAGGCCAACAGTGACWTAAGCTTTACTAGATCATACAACCTAAGCTGCCTTGGAGATAAAATTAAAAACAATGGGAATTGTGGAACCTTACTCTCACCCCACAAGTAAAAATCACACACTCACAAAACGCTTAACCTATGTGAAGGCAGACCGTTTCTTGTGCTGTGCATCAGTGATAATCCCAGGCAGGAATTCTTGTTGGATAGGTGGGCATTGCTGGACAATCTGCAAGGGACATTTCCCATCAAGCTTGGTTAGGCAGCCTAAGGAAGTGCCTCCCTGCATTTGCACTGTGCAGTTGTGACAAMAGGCTGCCAGAAGCACAGCATACCCTCCTCCCCCATCATTTTAACCTCTCAACAGGGCAAGGCTCAGCCAAGTGCTTTGCCAAAGCCCCGTGCCCTGTGCCCTGCTTGCTGCTGTGGTGGTTACAGGGTGTGGACCTGCCAGGGTGCCAAGTCACCCATCTCCCCCCACACTCACAGCAGACACACCAAAATTAAAGGGAAGGTGATGTTACCACAGAAGACATTTCATTCTCCAGAGTCATGGCCCTCTAACCACTCTGAACCTGTAGCTGCTGCATTATGGGGCTACACTTCCTTTGTCCAAAACCTGCCTTTTGGGAACAGAAATCAGGCTTGAGAAGCCAGAGACTCAGCAGCACTGCAGATTGTCCCCATCTGGGCACTGCTGTYCTCTCACAGCCTGGGACAGCCCAGGATCCCACAGACACCATTTGGTGGCAAGAGCACAGCTGAGGGTGGGTGGCAGTGGGATGGGCTCTGTCCTGCTCCCTGGGCTGAATCCCGCTGGCCCTCCACRGGTATCACACACCTCTCACGTGTATCACACATTTTAATGCTTCCCTTGGGGTCAGCTGGATCATGGCAGGGTACAGACACTCGAAATTAGGGTCCCATGACAGARACCATTTTCCATTCACAGCTTTCCTCTTTAAAAGTCTCATGYAGGGAAAGATCCAACAAGACAATGTGTATTGCAGACATCTTAATGGACTGCCTTGGCCAAGGGCTGCAACACAACAGTGATGAAGAGCAAAGTCCCAGTGTGAATATTTGCTGGCTGCATTGAGGTACAGGAGCTTGGTCCCTCTCCAGAGTCCTCTCTGCCCCTCCAGGGCAGGACCTGGTGATTTGGTTGTCTCTCTGAATCGGTCAGCCTTTCTCCACTGATTTTGGAAATTATCTTGGTGTCACCAGGCTAAAATTGGCACTTGAAAGTTTAACTTTTTTTTTTTAACTAGGAGTGGTTTGTGACATGATAGGTTTGGTGTAGTAGTGACTTGTTCTCATGGCTTTTTGACAATTTAACCAAAGTGCTGCTGAATCCCCTCATCTGAAAYATCAGGGAGAGAAATCCCCCTGCATGTCTGACAAAAGCATCTGCTACCTGCAGAAACCTGTTTTTGCAAGAAATACACAAATAAGATCAAAGATTTCACAATCTGCTCAGAGATGCTTGGCAAAAACATTACTGATTATAAATTATTTGCTCATGCCTACCTTTCAAAATGACCTTTTGGTAAGAAATGTCACTGCTTAACCAGGAGTGGAGCATAAATTAATTAATAAAGCAAGAACAAGGAGCGCTACTAATTAAGTTAACTTWATTAAATCAGCATCAAAAAGTATCRCAGCAGGAGAAATGAATCAGTGAACAAAATAATGGCTTTAAATTTTACCCATTACCCTCCTTACTTCCTTGAAACTCAGCACTTTGCCTTGAGTGGAACAAAAGCAAAAAATAACTCAGGCTTACAAACTTGCAACTCAATTTCAAATTCTTCATGCAATGCAGGAACACACAAAAGATAAAATAGAATATATACATAAAACACTGTGCAACATCATTTTCAATTCTATTGCTGATATTTTAATCTGGTTTTAATGCTGTTTGTTGTAGATGAAAGCACAGAACTAAATTCTAAATTCAAATCCATGCTGCCTATGTCCAGAAGACAAAGTACTTGTGTGGTGCCTAATTACCTGAGATATGGAGAAAGACAGGTTTTCTAAAAGTGATCATGGTCCCACTTCCATGGTTCTGCTTGAAAATACTATTTGTATTACTGTGTTTTTGTTCCACACAGTACTAAAYTCAAATCCTCTAAAGAGCAGCCTTTCATGTTGTACCTTTATCAGTGGAACATTATTACAACACAAAATAAAAACAGAAAAGTGTCCTGTTGACATCTGAATATAGAAGTATGCCAATGTCGCATGGGACTCAATGTGCTTTTCTTTTRAAATGCATATAATTTTGTGAAGGTTATTTTTCTGGAAAAAAAGATTCTCTGTAGCCCAAAGTATGAAACCTTTTAGAGACGGGGAAAGAGCCATTACACCAGAGCTTTACCACTCAGCCCTTTGCTGGTGCAGCAAAGGTAAAAGACCAGATCTACAGAGCAGGAAACACTCCTTTGTAGAAGGGCACTCTGAAAAATCCATAAGGATGCAGACTGGGTTTTAGAAGTGCAGGTCTGGAGGATGTCATTTTATCTCCCCCCYTCCTTTCCCCCCCACTTTTACATGAAACAGCACATCTGGCTTTAAAGCAATCAAAGAGTTTCCTTTGTTTGCTTGTATTTTAAAGGAGCCTTGATGCTTCAATGTTGAGATGTGGAATGACAGATGTATCTAAATCAATACTGCACTTCATATTGAACTTTCATTTGTAGTCCTTACCACCTCTTCATTATTCTATTTGTTTGTACAAGTTAATTAAATCTTGCAACATCTCTCTGAAGTACCTCTGCTCAATTTTCCAGCAAAGAGAATTAAAGAACAGATTGATGAAGTCTGATGCTATATTTAAAAAAAACAAAACAACAACAACATCAACAACAAAATATATATATACTGCAATATATGAACTCAGGTGAAAATAAATCCTCAGAGCAGTAACCTGAACTCTTGTTATGTATTCCTTATACCTTTGCCCAGCAAGGACCATCCTGGTGAGCTGACAGCCTGCTGCACAGATGCCTCCTTCCTACCCCATAGAGCCTCTGGCAGCTGCAACCTCCTGCTGTTTCCTCACAGGGACACCAATTTGGATCTCTCTCCTTGTCCAAAAAAACCTCACAGACGCTGCAGGAGATTCAGATTTTTATCTATTTAGAGTTTTAGATTTTTGGCTGAAATGAGCTGCAGGGCTCAGCCCCATCATTAGAGAAGTATTGACTGACAGACCAGCCAGGTGACCACATAAATCTCATGTCCTTATGCAGAGGTGAAATTTCAATCTTTGTGTATTTTTAAGCAGAAGTGGACCAACTGAATACACACACATCCTGTRCTTATGCATAGGCCCCAGGTGAAACCATTCCCCACCAAAATTGGTGAGCTGTGGATGTGGAATGGGATCCAATAAACCAAATCCTAAATGATGCACATCACTAGCAAAGCCAGAATTAGACCCCTCCTAATCGTGCAAATCTGTTCAAACTAAAACCATTAAAACCAGACCCAATAAACAGCTTGATGAAAACTGCCATCTGCTTAAAGGAACTTCCTCAAAAAAATCCAAAAACCACGGCTGTAAGCTCATCTGTTCACAACTTGTGCAAAACTGAAAGTCTTCAACACCTCTGCAGAGTTGCACCTGAAATTTTTTTTTCTTGTTATGGAAAACACGTTTGATTTAAATTTATTTACCTTACTGGATGTGATATCCTGTGAAATCATCAGTAAAGTATTTGTTCCTTGAATTTGAGTGCAACATGCTCCCCTATTTCATTTGCTTCCATTGAACAGACTTATAACTATTTTTTATTATTATTACTACTATTGCAGGCAATAACAACAATTTCTGTATTAACTCTTACTGACAGGCAATAAT